CAGCCTGAATTGCATAGTGAAATCCTGTCTCAAACAAAACAAAACATGTTAAAAACAAACAAACAAACAAACAAAAAAATACATTGCCTAGACAGGACTCAAATTTGCAATCCTCCAGTCTCAGCCTACTGGGATTGTAGGCATATACTCATCTGCAACAAACACTTATTCAGAGCCAAGCTCTGGGTTAAAGAGAGAAAAACAATAAAAAAGATGATGTGGAAATACATGGTTTGTATATGACACCAAGTGCCACACAGCACAGTGGGTCACAAGAACAGGCAGAGACTAGCAGCAGGGCGGGCAAGGCCTCCAGAGAGCAAGCTGAGCTGAGACCTGGCTAAGCAAAAGGGCGTGACCTCAAGGAGAGGCCAGCCAGACACAGGCAAAAGGAGAAGCTGGGTCACGCAGGGCTGCCTAACAGATGGGGAAACGGAGACACAGAACCAGTTATTGCATATGGCTCTGTAGCCAGCTGGGTGTTGCCTTTCTGACTGCTGCAAACTTCAGGCCCTGCCCTAAGTTCAAATGTTCCTTAGTCACCGAGGCGTCCACCAGAGGGTGTCCCAGGGCAGGAGCTGCCTCATAGGCCCCAAGACCTGTGATGGATGTGGCTGGACCAGACCTAGACACCTTGGGCATGGAAGCCTGGTCCTGGCAGGAGTGCCGGCGCTGCCTAAGGCTGCATGGTCCTGGGTGCTCACGGGACCGGCAGGCTCAGGGCGGCTGCAGCCGAGCCTCCTGGGCGCCCACCGTGCTTTCTGGTCCTCACTGTCAGCTGTGCTGAGAGTACCGTGCAGCGCCTCACAGAGGGAGGTTCACCTCTAATTCGCATCCTTCTTGCTCAGACCACCCGGGCGCCAGCCTCAGGATGTTCCTGCACTGCACTGCAGGGGCTTCCGCCTGCCAGCTTGCCTATCTCCCTCGACAGCGCTGGGAGGAGAAAACCCACCCCAAAGCAGGGAGCTGGCAACCGCACATCAAGATGTTCTGTGAGCCTGGCCTGGGGAGATGCACAGAGGGCTCGGCTCGGCCTCCCCCAGGCTGCTTTACCAGCCCTCACAGAGAGGCCGAAACCACAGGTGCAGGATGTGGCGGGTGTGAATGGGAGAGGAAGCACATGGCCTGCAGCAGCGGTGACATCCCGCCCCCCCTGGTGTTACAGCCCTCCCACGGCGATGAGGGGAACCTGAGGCAGAGGAAGAGCAGTCTGACACCCCCTCTGACAACATCAAAACATCTTTCCCAAAATAATGAGTATAGCTGGGGTTCAGGTTACGCATGCCTGTGATCCCAGCACTCAATACAAGGAAGGCTGAGGCCAGTGAATCTGTGGGAGTTCAAGGCCAGCCTGGGTTACATAGTGGGATAGTCTTTAAAAAAACTCACAAAATAAATAATATTAATAATCAAAAAATTAGGGCTGGGGATTTAGCTCAGCGGCATTAAGTGCCAGCTTTGCAAGTGTGCGGTCGTGAGTTTGATCCTTGGTACTGATTTAAAAAAAACACCCAAAAAATTAAATTAAAATAATTTTTTTTCTGTCTTTTTTTTTGTCTTTCTTTTTTTTTTATCAGTACCTGGGATCAAACTCACGACCACACACTTGCAAGGCAGGCACTTAATGCCGCTGAGCTAAATCCCCAGCCCCCTTTTCTCTGTCTTTTTGAGACAGGGTCTCGCTATGCAGTTCGGCTGACCTTGAGCTCACTTTGTAGCCCAGGCTGAAATTTTAAAAAAATTTTTAAACTAAAAAATAAAATAATGGTTGCCAGGTGTGGAGCACATCAAAATTTCAGAGCCTTGGGATTCTAGGCCTAGAATTATCAGTCCTCCTGCCTCAGCTTCCGAGTGCTGAGGTACAGCTGGTACCAGCATGTCTATCAATACAAACTGCTTCTTAACCCTGTGGCAAGCATTTAATTAAAAGAGTTTCCATAGTATGGCGAGCTCTGTATGGCCCTGGCTGGCAGGAGCTGATGGCAGACATCTCGCAGACTGGTGGACCCCTTCCAGCTGCTCTCCCTCCCTAAGGCAAAAATGCGGGTTCTGGTCCTCAGAGATGCAGGTCCCCTGCCTGGGGCTTTGAACCTTCCCACACTGACAAGCTCTTCCATCGGTACAATTGATTTCTCCCATCCGGAGCAGGTGGGATGTTGGGGAGGTAGCCCCAGAGCCAATGCCTGATTGAGAAGGCAGAAATCTCCCTGCCTCTGCCTCCTGGTGTCCTTGGAGCACAGTCCTCTGCTCACAGGGAGTGGCCGCAGTGGCCTTGAGGAGGGTGGGGCCAGGAGCAGGGAAGGCTGCTGATGGGACCTGTGCCCTCCCCCACTGCCCACCCCGGACCAGCTAAGAAAAGCTCAGCGAGGGAAAAACCGCCGGCCGGGCAGCTGCTCCACCGCGCGCCCCAGGCCCTTCCTTCCCAGCCGGCTGCCGCGGGCAGATTAGCGCAGCTCCGGAAAAGCAGGCCCGAAGCTGCAGGGCTGCCGCTTAGTCAGCGCCCTACCTGTCAGGAAGGCATTCATAAAAGTGACACCTCCCCGGCCCCCGGCCCCAGCCGCGCAGCCGCCCTCCCTCCGCGGGCGCTCGGTGGATCCAGCGAGAGGAGCCAGCTTCTCCCCAGTGACTCCGTCCTGAGGACACGAGGGGGAGCCAAGCCGAGCAAGGGCGCCCTGCGCTCAGGAGCGGGCCGCGACCCGGGGTGGGGAGGGGGAACGTGTGTCCTAAAGGCTTTCACCTCCCGGACATCGGGCTGGACACAGCAAAGCTGGGACAGCCGGGCCAGTTCTCTACCAAGGAGAGCGGCCCACAGAGGGGAAGCGGCTTGCCCATCCCACGAGTCCCCCGGCCCAGGGGATGAAATGCAGGTTGCTGTCCGGACCAGAATCTAATTCCCAGGCGCACCCCTGCCTGTCTGGACCCCCCTGAGCTCAGGCCTCATCTAGCTCTTGCTCTCCTGCAGCTCCTCCAGCCTCTGGGTTACTCTGACACACAAAGCATGCACTGACCGCGGGGCCTTTGGATATATTCCTCCTGCTCTCCCCCAATGACTTACCAGATTGTAAGGCCAGGTCCCCCTTTCAGCTCCCTGACACCCATACAGCACCCCATTCCTGCCCACTGAGAGGTCCCATCCTAATTCGTACTAGTTCATTATGCACCCCTCCCTCACTGAACTCATGGCTTTGCACTGAGCTTACAGCCATAGTCCTGTTTTTTTTTTCTTTGTTTGATCCTAGTCCTTTTGTCATTTTTTTTTTTAATCAGTACTGGAGATCGAACTCAGGACCACGTTCTTGCAAGGCAGGTGCTTATGCCAGTGAGCTAAATCCCCAGCCCCCTTTCAGTTTTTTTGTTTTTTCCTTTTGTCATTTTGAGGCAGGGTTGCACTAAGTTTCAGCCTGTTATTTTTTTTTTTTTTGGGGGGGGGGTGGGCGGTCGAACTCATGATATGATACCTGCTGGGCAGGTCCTTTTGCCACTGAGCTAAACCCTCAGCCCTGTTCTGCCCAACCCTCAGCCCTGTTCTGCCCGGTTTTGAACTCACTTTGTAAGCTCAGGATGGTCTCCAACTCTTGGTGATCCTCCTGCCTCAGCTTCCTGAGTGCTGGGATTACAGGTGTGCACTACTGCGCTTGACCCTAGTCCTTTATTTTATTTTCTGGGTACTGGGGATCGAACTTTTTTTTATTTTAAAGAGAATGAGATAAAAAAAAAATCAGAGTAAAGCCAATCAAAACAAAGCAGTGAAAGTGGTACAGAACTTTGAAACAGGGTAATAGGAAATCAACAATGGCTACCATAATATATCTTGTTATCCTACTCCTTTATTTTTATATTTCTGCCTTGAGATAGAGCCGTGGGGACCAGAGATTTAGTTCAGTGGCATAAGTGCCTGCCTAAAAAATATGAGGTTGTGAGTTCAATCCCTGGTACCACCAAAGAGAGAGAGAGAGAGAGAGAGAGAGAGAGAGAGAGAGAGAGAGAGAGATAGGGCCCTGTCAGCCATCTGTGGTAGCATACACCCATACTCTCAGCACTTGGGAAGCTGAGGCAGGAAGACTGCCAGGAGCTTAAGGCCAGCTTGAGCTGTGCAGTGAGTTTAAGGTCAGCCTGAATTACAAAGCAAGACTCTGTCCAAAGAGAGAGAGACAGAGAGAGAGAGGGAGAAAGAGAGAGAGAGAGAGAGAAAGTGGGGACCTGGCTAAGTCCCTAAATTGCCATTCTCCTATCTCAGCCTCCCAGAGTGCTGGGTTTACAAATGTGCACCACCGTGCCGTGCCAGCTATGCGTACTGCTTTATCCAATACTGCTTTACTCACTCACCATCTGTCTCCCCAGGCACAGGAAATCCAGAAGGGTAGGCTGCATCACCGAGGCACCCCAGGACCTACCTCCATAATATCTGCTGCTTGAGTGACCAAATGACTTTCAGTGTAAACAACTAGAAGCCCTCTGGCTGCCACCCTGCTGTCCTCTGAGCTTGTTCCTGGTGAACGCAAATGAATAAAAGAGGCATTCTGATCACAGAAGCAGTGACCTTGGTGGTGTGGTCAGAGGGTCACAGGTGAGCTCACTGACAGCCAGGCCTGCTCCTGCAGGTGGTGCATTTTATAATGCACCCCATAAACAGCCATCATTTCTGTCATCTGTACCCTCAAGAGTGGCAGAGGTCCCCAGCACATGCCACTTTACAAGAAAGGTTTTGTGCTTCTGGGCAGCTTTGAATGAACATGTCCAAGCACTTACTGGGACCCCAATTCCATTTGAAGCCAAGGCACCTGGGCAAGGTGACGCATACCTGAAAGCCCAGCTACCTGGGAAGCTGAGGCAGGAGGATAGCAAAAGTTAGCCCAGCCTGGGAAACTCAATGAGACCCTGTCTCAAAAGAAAAAGTAAAATGGTTGGGGATGGAGCTCAGTGGTAGGGCTGCTGGATTCAACCTCCAGTGCTGCAAAACAAAACAAGCCAAACCATTGGTCCGTATGCTTGCTTTCTAGACTCTTCTAGTGGACTCTTCTCAAAGGACCTGGAAAAGAAGGCGAGCCTCAGGTCAAAGCCACCCCACTGCCATCCTAGCCTATCACTGAGGGCTGACTGAGCGCTCACAAGGGCTGCATCGGAGAGTCCTGTGTTGCCACCTCCACTCCCTCTGCAGCAGGGAAGCAGCCAGGAGGGCAGCTCGGAAGGCAGGTGAGCTCCTGCCCCCTCCTGCAGCACATCTGTCTGCCCGGAGATTTTTTTTTTTATCGGTACCGGGGATCAAACTCATGACTGCCTGCTTGCAAGGCAGGTGCTTATGCCACTGAGCTAAATCCCCAGCCCCCTTGCCCTGAGATTTGAGTCCGCAGAGACCCATGAAGGGCTCTGGCCTTTACTGACTCCTTGACCTCCTCCCCATTTATCCAGGACAAACAGCACCATACTGTTCCCTGCGAAAGCAGCCACTCTGCTGTGCCACCCTCCCCTTCCTGCTGCCTTCTATCTTGCTGGTGCCTCCTGGGCTAAATCGGGTGCACTTCTGCCTGGTCTCCTGGGTGTTCCGTGCTTCCTCCAGTGGGCATCTACCTCTCTGTGTCAAGGCTCTGTGACTCCAGCATCTTGGAGTACACATAGCCTGGCACACAGGGAAGCAAAAGAGTTCAGGACTAGGCTGTTCTCAGGTTACTTTGACCAGGACCAGAAGATTTCATAGGGGTCAAAGGGCATCAGGCAGGACTGAGAGGGGACCATGCAGTGCCAGCAGGAGTGGACCAGAAGGGCGCCACAGGAGCAGGAATCCAGGAGCAGACAGCTGGAAATCAGGAAGCAACAGACCCCTGCCTAGTAAGCTAAGACGCAGACGCTGTTGTGTAGGTCTTTGGGCAACCTATTGAACCTTTCTGTACAATGAAGATCACTATAAATATCACTCAGGGTTGCTAAAATCAGTAAGTTAATACACGTAAAGCCTTTAATGCAGATTTAGCATAAGGTATCATTCAGTTAATGTAAGCAACTGTTTTTTGGTTGTTTTATTTTATTTTTTTTTTGTCTTTTTCATTTTTACTGGTACCAGGGATCGAACTCACGACCACCTGCTTGCAAGGCAGGTGCTTATGCCGCTGAGCTAAATCCCCAGCCCCCTTTGGTTGTTTTAAACGAGGTTTCCCTACGCAGTTCAAGCTGGCCTTGAACTCATAGTCATCCTCCTGCCTTAGCCTCCCAAGTGTGCCACCATGGCCAGCACAGTTGTAATTATTACTCACAGCACTGAAAAGGCCCTTAGAGAGCATCTAAATTCCTGCATTATAGTTGGGGGAAGAGGAAAGTCTTGCCAGCACCTTTTGGTGGGGCCTTGCAACAAGGGTACCAACAGGGGTACCACCCACCAAGTCAACTGGATCCCCTGCAGGGCCCTAAGTGGAACAGGAGGGTGCTGCCTGGATCAGCTGAGGGGCTGGTGGGATTCCAGCTGGGGCTCCAGAGGACCTGGAACCTGACACACTCCCAATGCCTTGGCTCTGTTTCAGGCAAAATTGTCCAGCATATTTTAGGATCAGCAAAAACCCACAGTGCTTCTGGCTGAGCACTTTCGCTCTCCTGCTGAAGCCCAGGGGTATTTCCTAGGAAACTGAGCCCATCTGTTTCTGATTCATTTGTACTTAACTCATCACCAAGCTGTTTTGTAAGAGCCCTTTGATGTGAAAGCAGCCTTGTTCCCTAAGCCTCGCTAAGCCTTTATTTAGTCAACGGTAGGTAAAAGGCCTCCTCACCCTGGCCAGGACAGCTTCTTGACTCTGCAGATGTGAGTCAGAAGGAGGGAAAGTGGTCCTAACACCCACCTGTGGCCCCAGACCTGGCCTGGGCCAGTCAGGGCAAAGTGGACCACCCTGTTCTGACCCAGCCTGTGGGCCTTGGGTTCACAGTGAGGACCCCAACTGGGCGCTGGACCCCAGCGTCCCTCTGTACTTCCCATAGCTGTCCATACAGATTTGCGTGGGTATCTTAAACCTGACTTCAAGCTCCCGAAGGATAAAAGGCCAGGTTTCCTAACATTTCACACCCTGCAGTCATCCTGTGTGCACAATCACAGGGTGCACTGCTTCCCCAAAAATCTACAGGAAAGATCTCACAACTGTAAGGTCGACGGTGTTGAAGGAGCTGCTGACTGAATTGAGCCCGGGATGAAGAGGAGAAGCTGTCTTCCCGCCTCTGATGCAGAGCCCACGGCGCTCCATTAATTCCCCACACTCCTGCTTCATACACAGAGATGGGAAACCGGAAGAACCCCACAACTGAAGAGACTACACAAAACTCCGGCAACTAGTACCGTGCTTCTTATGATCTCTGGAGGCTGCACAGGGGCTTCGGTGGACAGCACTAATTTCAGGTGGATTTGCATGTTCACAACCCACCCACAAGCACCTCTGCAAGAGACAAGAGTCCTGACAGGGTTCTCACCCGGCTGGGCAGGTTCTGTTTATTCAGGACATATTTCGGAGTCTCTCAAAAGCAGGGCATGATGGAGACCAGTGATTCTCAAACTGAAACATGCATCAGAAATTACCTTCAAGTGCTGGATGTGGTGGCACACACTTGTAATCTCAGCACTCAGCACTTGGGAGGCTGAAGCAGGAGGATGGCTGCAAATTCCGGCCAGCCTGGGCTACAAAGTGAGGGGTTTGTTTTTCAGTATCGAGATCTAACTCATGACCTTGCGCTTGCTAGGCAGGTGCTTATGCCACTGAGCTAAATCCCCGGCCCTACAAAGTGAGTTTAAGGCCAGCCTGAACTACATATTAAAAGCCTGTCTCAAAAAAAAAAAAAAAAAAAAAAAAATCATTCAAGGGCTGGTAAAAATTAGTCACTAAAGTTGGGCATGGTTGTGCACACCTGTAGTCCCAGCATTCAGGTGTCTAAGGCAGGAGGATCTCAGCAAGTTCGAGGCCAGCTTATACTACATAGTGAGACTCTTAGTAACAAGAAAAAAATGCTGGGGGTTTAGCCCAGTGGTGTAAGTGCTTGCTTGGCAAACACGAGGACATGAGTTCAATCTCTGGTACACACACACACACACACACACACACAAAGAACAAAAACAAAAACAAGAAAAGATCAAACAGCTTTTATTTTATTTTTATTTTTTTTGGTGCCAGGGATGGAACTCATGACCTCGCGCTTGCCAGGCAGGCGCTTAAGCCACTGAGCTAAATCCCCAGCCCCAAACAGCTTTTAAAAAAAGACCAAAAAGTATCTTTTGTTTGTTTGTTTGTTTGGTACCAGGAATCAAACTCATGATCTTGCGCTTGCCAGGCAGGCACTTATGCCGCTGAGCTAAATTCCCACCCCCAAAAATATCTTTTAGGGCCAGGGATTTAGCTCAGTGGTGTAAGTGCCTGCCTGGCAAGCACGAGGTCAAGAATTCAATCTATGATACCAAAAAAAACAAAAACTATCTTTTAGGAAAATTTGATTGTTAGTTCTGTATTACTCAGGATCATACTCATGGGCTTTGCACTGAGCTATATTCCTGGCTCTTTATTTTTTTTTTTTTTAATCTTTTTATCTGTACCAGGGATCGAACTCACAACTGCCTGCTTGTAAGGCAGGTGCTTATGCTACTGAGCTAAATCCCCATCCCTTCCCTGCTCTTTATTTTGAGAGGGTTACACTTAGTTGCTAAACTGTGCAGGCTGGGTTCAAATTTGTCATCCTCCTGCTGTAGGCTCCCAGAGTGCTAGGTTTACTGGTGTTTGATAAGACGCCTGGCTACTTTTTCATCTTTTTGGGACAGGGTTTTGAAATGCAGTACAGGCTGGCCTGGAATTGGCAGTGATCCTCCTGCCTCAGACTCTCAAGTGCTGGGATTATGGGCTTGCACCACCATACCTGGCCTCTTTTATTTGCTTTTATGTGGATTTTTTATCGGTACCGGGGACTGAACTCACGATCACCTACTTGCAAGGCAGGTGCTTATGCTGCAGAGCTAAATCCCCAGCCCCTGGATTTTTTTTTTTTTTTTAAACCAGGAATTGAACTCAGGACCTTGTGCTTGCCAGGAAGGCACTTATGCCACTGAGTTTTATAGCCCATATTTAACTTTTTTCTTTTTTTGGTACCAGGTATTGAACTTACAACCTTCCACTTGCCAGGCAGGCACTTACAGCATTGAGCTAAATTCCTAGCCCTCCTGCCCATATTTTAAAGAGCAAAAAATAACAAAATTAGAGGGTAACAATTTTAAAACATTGCATAGTTATCTTTAAATTAGTAACTCAAAATATAAGCTATCTGCACTTAATTGTCCAAACAATACCAACACAAACCATTCTTTTCAGAGAACTGAGATAATTAGTATAACAATTTTAACTAATATACACATACACATTATCTTTCAGCTTCTCACACTAGGGAGACAATACAATGTTTACACATGTAAGTTTGATTTCACTTACCAGTATGGTCTCTAGTTGCATCCACTTATGTACAAAAGCCTTGAGTTGATCTTTCTTTATGGTTGAGTAGTACTCCGTGGTATAAAAAAAATACATCTTTTTTATCTCCATTCTTTGGTTGATGGCCATTTGTGTTATTTCTAAGATCTAGCTATTACAAATTGTGCTGCTCGGGGCTGGGGATTTAGCTCAGTGGCATAAGCGCCTGCCTTGCAAGCAGGCAGTTGTGAGTTCGATCCCTGATACCGATAAAAATGAGAAAGACCAAAACAAAAACAAAAACAAAAAATTGTGCTGCTATAAACACAAGTACATGTATATTGTACATATTGTATAATGTTTTTAATGCTTCTGGGAAGACAGGACGCCTGACAGAGCACTAGCTGAGTCAAATGTGATCTCCAATCTTAATTTTTTGAGGAACCTCCACACTGATTTCCACAGTGGTTGTACCAGTGTATCCTCCCTCCAATAGTGGACAAGGGTTCCTTTTTCCCCAAGCCCCTCAGTATTTCTTATTGGTTGATTGCTTGATGATAGCCATTCTTTCTGGAGTGAAACAGGATCTCAGTGTTGTTTTTTGTTTTTCTGGTACCAGGAATCAAAATCAGGACCTCAAAGTGCCAGGCAGGCACCTGTGCCACCGACCTATGTCCCTGGTCCCTCAATGTTGTTTTAATTTATATCTCTTGAATGACCAGTGATGTTGAACATTTTTTCATAAATTTATTTGCCATTTCTTCATCTGAGTAGATATTCATCTCAGATACCCACTGTTGGGTTGGGTCTTTAAATTTGGGGGGTCTAAAAAAATAAGATAAGAAAATAAATTGGGGGAGCTAATTTTTTTTTTTTTTTTTTTTTTTTTACTTTATATGTTCTCAATAGTAATCCTAAACCAGGTGTGGTGGTGCATGCCTGAGGTCCCAGCAGGAGGATCACTCCGAGTTCGAGGCCTACCTGGGCTACAAAAGTGAGTTTGAGGCCAGCCTGAACTGCATAGTGAAATCATCTTGAAAATGGATAGGGGTGGGGGACAGTAATCCCTTGTCTGAGGAACAGCTGTCAAACATTTTTTCCCATATTGTGGGTTGTCTCTTCATTCTGTTGGTGGTTTCTCTTGTAAAAGCTTTTTAATAAGATGAGATCCCAGTTGTTGATCCTTTGTGATAGTTTCTGTGTGATCAGGAATTTATTCATAAATTCTTTGCCTAAACCAATGTCTTCAAGAGTTTCACCTATTCTGTCTTTAAGGTGCCGAGTTTTTGGTTTTTTTTTTTTTTTTTTTTTTTTTTTTGTCTTTTTCCTTTTTATCGGTCGAACTCAGGACTGCCTGCTTGCAAGGCAGGCGCTTATGCCACTGAGCTAAATCCCCAGCCCCACGGTGCCAAGTTTTAATCCAGGGTCTCACACTTGTTAGGCCTGTGCTCTTCCCTGAGCTGTACCTCATCCCCTGAACACTTGGAAAGACCTTCCTGCACCCCAGCAGATGCCCTGTGTGAGGCAGCTGGCTGATCACAATGGGGAGCACTGGGCACTGGGCTGTTGGAGATTCTCCTTGTCACTGCCATTAAAAAAAATAGCAAAACTGAAAGGTGAATACACACACACACACACACACCCTCTTGCCTCCCCTCCCCCAGTCAGGACAGTCTTTTTCTCTTTAGGGAAAGAAGAAAAGTATTTCTGGTTTGTCTTTATTGGCCTGACCGTTACCATTCCATTGTGCTGGAGTGTGCACAACCATCTCTGTGTGTATGCATGTGTGTGTGTGTGTGTGTGTGTGAGAGAGAGAGAGAGAGAAACAGACAGACAGACAGACAGACAGAGATAGAGAGAGACAGAGAGAGAGATTGGGGACTTAACCCGGAGGTGTATAACCATTGAGCTGCATGCTTAGCCCTTTTTAAAGTTTTTATTTTGAGACAAAATCTTGCTAAATTTCCTGAGTTGGACTCAATGTTGGGATCCTCCTGCCTCAGCTTCTAGAGTAGCTTCCATTACAGGATTAATGCCAGCATCTCAGGACCTTTACCATTTTAATGAACATTATACTGTGAGAGAAACAGACAGAGAGACATAGACAGACAGAGACACACCAAGAGACACAGTCACAGAAAGAATATTCAAAGGCTCTATAAAAGGACAGTTGATATTGCTAAACAGAATAAGAATGAGTGAACCAATGCAAAGCTGAAGCTCAAATCCACCAGTGCTGCAACAAAATCCCTGCTGAACAGTGTGCAGGCCAGGGTCAATGTTCTCAGCCAACAGATTACACTTGTGACAAAATTCCAACACATGGCTCACCCCTGTAATCCCAGCACTCGGGAAGCTGACACAACAAAGCAGCTAGAGAAATTCCTGGGGTTCGTAACAGGCTCTGTACTGCAAAGGAAGTAAGGATCTAATTTACTCTTGCATGGAAAAGACAGATTTCCTATAATCCCAGCACTCGAGAGGCTGATGCAGGAGGATCACTGTTAAGTAGAGGCCAATAGGGGTTACATAGGGAGACTTTGTCTCAAAAAAACCCACTTGTAGCCTGGGGATGTAGCTTGGTGGGAGAGCACATGCACAAGGCCCTGTGTCTAGTGCCCAGAACTGCAAAACCAAGAAAGAAAACAACAAAGAATTTCAGTTATCTGTGTATAGTTTCTCACCCTTCCCCACTGGATCCAGAGCAGCCCTGACCCGTACGAGACACTCCCAGAATGACTGTGATCTTACTGCTCTTGGAGACGGGCCTTGGAAGGTGGCACCTCACTGTTCAGACCCATAGGGGTTAACACTGACCAACAATCAAAATGCCTTCCCCGGATGTAATCTGCCAGGGCCAGGCAGGCTTGATTAACATTAGCCTTCTTGATCCATCCACACAACAAAATATGCCTTAGCCATAGAGAGAGAGGTAGACACGTTCTCCAGCCTACATATTAGCAGTATGTGTGGTGTGCAGTCACTTGTGTAGCAAAATAAATGGTGTAAAAATAAAAATTCCAGCTCTCATGAGGCGCACACTTGTAATTCCAGATCTCATGAGGCTGAGGCGAGAGGATCCCTGAGTTCCAGGTCGCCCAAACTGCATGGCAAGGCCCTGTCTCAAAAATTAAGTAAATAAATAAACCTGCGCTTACAAGGAGGCTTTGGAAGGAGCCCTAAGGAGCTAAGCAACAGTTCTGTAGAGGACTGCAGCAGGGAAACTAAGTGGGAGATGGAACAGAAAGGATCTGTTATTTTTAATGTAATTTAATTTTTTTGTGGAACCTTACGCCACTGAGCTAAATCCCCAGCCCCCAGAAAGGGTCTTGCTGCTTCATTCTCATTACATTTTTTGTTTTTCTTTTGGTAGCAGTACTTGAGATTAAACCTGGGGCCTTTGGGCTGACCCAGCCCTTTTCATTTTTTAATTTTGATATAGGGTCTCAATAAACTGCCCAGGCGGAACTCAAATTTGTAATCATCCTCTTTTCTTTGGCGGGGGGTACCGGGGATCGAACTTACAACCTCGTGCTTGCAAGGTAGGCGCTTATGCCACTGAGCTAAAGCCGCAGCCCCTTATCTAAGGGTTTTATTTGCTCTTTTTGTGAGGACTGAACCCACAGTCTAGTGTGTGCTGGGTAAGTGCTCTCTGACTAAGCTACACCACCAGCCCTTTTTTTGGTCTAAGACAGGGTCTCATTATGTAGTTCAGGCTGGCCTGGAACTCATGTCGTAGCCCAGGCTGACATCGAATTCACAGTGATATTCCTGCCTCAGCCTCTTGAGTGCTGGACTTACAGGCATGCGCCACTAAACTGAAGCCCAGCCTTTTTTTTTCTTCTTGGTACCAGGGATCAAACTCGCAACCTTGCACTTTCCAGGCAGGTCCATATGCCACTGAGTTAAATCCCTGACCCATTTTTTTATACTGATAAATGCACATACTCCATGATCCAGCAATTACATATCTATATTTACCTTATTTATTACTATATGTACAAAATGATACACATTGCTCAAGATCAGTTGTAATAGTACTTATAAGAGAAAAATAATGGAAATAAATCAAGCACCCATCAGCAGGAAACTGGTTAAATAAATCATCCATTTGAAGATACAGGTGTGTTGATTACAGAGAATGAAGTAGCTCTCTATGCTCCCATCTGAAATGATTTCTCAGATAAGGGAGAAAAGTGAGGCGCAGGATGGCATGTGTATCATGCTTCAATTTGTGCAGGAAAAAAAAATCAATATGCATATATATGCGCAATACAGAAATAGCTTCAGGACACAAAATAAACTACTAACAGAGGCTGCCTCTGAGAGAGCAAAGGAGGTAACCAGGGAGAGGCACAGAGAGGAAAGCAACTTTATTTATTTATTTATTTTTATATATATTTTTTGTCTTTTTCGTTTTTATCAGTACCAGGGATCGAACTCACGATTGCCTGCTGGCAAGGCAGGTGCTTATGCCGCTGAGCTAAATCCCCAGCCCCGAGGAAAGCAACTTTACAATGGATCTTTCATGCTATGGGCACACATCATCCATCCAAAACAGCACAAAGTTCCGAGGACGGAGGGAGGAGCAGGAAGAAAAGCCACATAACAAACTGGGGACATTCACAGGTATGCCTTTATCATGATGCCTTTAATTCCAGTTTCCTGAGCTGCTCTTACAAATTCCAATTTTGGACCACAGACCATCCCACTGGAGACTCAGAACCTTTAACAAAACTAGGAAAATCTTTTTTTTTTTTTTGCGGTACTGGGGATGGAACTCATGACCTCATGCTTGCCAGGCAGACACTTATGCCACTGAGCTAAATCCCCAGCCCTTGAAAATCATTTTTTTGATATGAGGTCTCACATTATAGCCTAGGCTGGCCTCAAACTCACAGTGATTCTCCTGCTTCAGCTTTCTGAGTGCTGGGATCACAGGTAGATGCCACCACACCTGACCTTAGGAAGATACTTTTGAAGACAAGAGCAGTATTCTCTGGATGTAGATGCAGAAAGGTAGCAGGACTCATACTTTTTGTTCCATTTTCATGGTTCTGGGAGCGAACCTAGGGCCTTGGCATTAAGGTATATCCCCAGCTTTCCTTCCTTTTGTTTTTTGAGAATGGTCTCACTGAAATTGCCCAGTGCAGACTCAAATCTGCAGACCTCAGCCTCCCAGAGTGCTGGGCTCCCATACTTCTCTTTTTAGGGCCTTTTTTATTCACCATCTAATCAGCAGAGATGTTCAACTGGAAAAGAAACAAGCTACAACAGCCTCTAAAAGCTTGCCTCACTACAGTGTGACAGGACAAACCCAGAAGAATGGACAGCGATCTTTCCAGAGGGTACAAACATGCCTGTGCAGAGGCATCTCAGTAAAGCCTGACGGGCAAACACCACCACCGCCAAGGCGGAATGTGCGGGACTGGAGGGAGCCCCACAGCTCATCCCCACGCTCTTCCTCTCCCTCAGCCACAAGCCAGCTCTGTGTTTGGCAGGGAAGAGGTGGAGCACGTCATTTTGTATCATGGCACCGTTCGTTTGCTTTGGAACTTTTATTTTCACCGGTGAATCTGAGATGCAATAGCCTGTCCGAAAATCTAAAACCTCCTGGGAGGTAGGGGTGGTGGTTCCCTTAACAAGTTTACAGGGAAGTGGTGCAGGGCCCTTTAAGTACTTAATCCTGTTGTTTTTCAGAAACCTTTTGCACCTGGGCTCCCAAGAAGCTGGAGGACCTGCAGGAGGGGCCTCTGGGAGCTGCCTGGTGAAGGGCGCTGCGCGCACAGGATCAACTCAAGCACTCCATGCTGGCCCTAACCCGCTCCATCTCGTGCAGGAAACTGTAGAACTGAGGCAAGGTTAATTCTGGGGAAAGAAAATTCAGCTTCAGTTAGGTTTTCCAACTCCACAGAATCACCAAGGAAATTCTTTTTCACCCAAAGATTTTTTTCCTTCAGTGCTGAGATGGAACCCAGAGCCTCGTGCATGCTAGGCAAGCACTCTAAAACCGAGCTGCACCCCAGCCTGGGCTCTCTCTCTCTGTCTCTCTGTCTCTCTGTCTCTCTGTCTCTCTGTCTCTCTCTGTCTGTCTCTCTCTCTCTCTCTCTCTCTCTCTCTCTCTCTCTCTCTCTCTCTCGGTTTAGTGCATCTAAGCTGCCCTTAAGAACAGACCTGAGAGGGGCGGGGAATTTAGCTCAGCGGAATAAGCACCTGCCTTGCAAGCAGGCAGTTGTGAGTTCGATCCCTGGTACCGATAAAAATGAAAAAGACAAAAAAAAAAAAAAGAATAGCCCTGGGGGCTGGGGATTTAGCTCAGCGGCATAAGTGCCTGCTTTGCTAAGTGTATGGTTGTGAGTTCGATCCCTGGTACTGATTTAAAAAAAGGAAAAAAAAAAAAGAAGAATAGACTTGAGAGCCTTGAACATAGGAGGCTCTTCACTCCACAGAAGAGGTGGAGATGTGGCATTAAAATGGCACAACTCATAAAGAGATTGAAAATGACCAAGATATATTATACAATGTACCAGTTCCCTCCAAAGAACACCACCATTATATTACAAACATGCACCAGAAAGCTAAACTATTAAATAAAATGGCCTAACTCCATGGCATGGGGGATGGAAGGACATCGCTCAGGGTGTTCCGGGAGGCTTCTTCAGCAAGAACATCTTGTTTCTCAAGGAGCTTCAGTTCTAGCCATTCCTTTCCCATTCCCTTTTCCAAAAATCCTCCTCACCTGTGAGGTCACCAACCTGCTCATGGCTTAGTAATTTTTTTCCCTTTTTTTTTTGGTACCAGGAATTGAATTCAGGACCTGCCGTTTTCCAGGCAGGCACTTGTGCCACTGAGCTGTATTGCCGGTTTCCTTTGGCAGAGGACAGCTTGGTGGTGAACTTTTCTTGGAAGAAATGGTTCATAGTGCCCATAGCAGCCCAACCAACTGAAGAGAACACAGAAGTGGAAAAGCTCTAATGAAATTCTGACTCACCTATATACAAATTTTCAATTTGATTTCCTTTCTTAACCACCAACTTTAACTATTAAAGAAAGAAAAAAATTTAAATTAAAATAAGGACAACAGGACAAAGAAATTCTGAGAAACCTGACCACTTAGCCATCCCAGGCCCTCTGCCTGCTAAGCATGTGCTCCACCGCTGAGCCACACCCCAACCCCTCCGCTCAGCTTCTGACTTGAGAATCCACAGAAGGCCACCAAAATGTCCTGCAGTTTCTATGATTATAGGAACATCCAAGATTTTTTTTTTTTTTTTTGGTACCAAAGATCAAACTCACCACCTAGCACTTGCCAGGCAGGCGCTCATGCCACTGAGCAATCCCCAGCTTTTTTTTAAAAAAACAGTATCAAGGATAGAATCCTTGTACATCCTTGTATCACTGAGCTACATGGAAGCCTTTCTTATTTTGGGACAAGGTCTTGCTATATTGCCACGCTGGCATCAAACTTGCCACACTCTTGCCTAGGCCTCCCGTGTACCTGGGATTACAGGTATACACCACCATGATTGGCTAGATTTAAATTGTTTTGTTTTAGTAGTGGGAACTGAACCTAGGCCCTTTGCAGTCAGCTGTATCCACAGCTTGTTTTATTACTGTTGTTTTTTATTTTGAGACAGGGTCTCGTTAAATTGCCCAGACTAAACTTGAATCTTGCCTTAGCTACTTAAAGTACTAGGATTACAAGTATGCACACCACTACACCCGGCTCAGATTTAATATGTTTTTATCAAGTCAAAAGTCTTCCCATTTTCTTTTTTTTTTTTTTCTCTTTTTGTCTTTTTCTTTTTTATTGGTACCAGGGATTGAACTCATGACCACACACTTGCAAGGCAGGCGCTTATGCCGCTGAGCTAAATCCCCAGCCCCAGTCTTCCCATTTTCAAAGATTAAAGACTTACTTGTAAAAAAATACTTCCTACTTTCTCCAGTTCACTGCTCCCAGATGTTACTGTAACACAAAAGAGAAAAATATAAGTGAGAGTTGGGGATATAGCTCAGTGGCAAAGCACCTGCCTGGCAAGCACAAGGTAGTAAGTTTGATTCCCAGTACCAAAAATAAATAACAACAAGTGATTGGAGACTTCCCTGAGGACACTGATTTTTCAGGCTGTCTAGCAGGGAGATGTGCTCTTGGCTAAGTCAACCCGGGACAGATTGGCCAGGAATGGAAGCAGCTGCTAAACATGGACGGCGTTCACAAGGTGGCTGCAGGCCCCACCCTGTCTGTGTGAGACTCAGGACACATACCCCACTAAAGATTCCCCACTGAAGATCCCCAAAAGCTTCTGCAACTCAACCCACATAAGCCAAGTGAACCAGGACTACTTACCTCCAAACTTCCATTCCATATCGATCAGCTGGTTAATCATCAGGGTCTGACCTACCGCCCACTGAGCAAGGGCAGGAGTGTTCTGTTTCCACTAGAGCAAGTGCAAAAGCCAAAGTCACAACCATGCTGGAAAGTCCAACTCCCCAGGGGAGGGCTCAGCCTGCACACACACCCCCGCAGGTAGAGAGGGGAACACAGCAGCGCAAGACATACAAACATTGCCTTTCACTCCAAGATTTTACCTACGTTGGAACAAAAACTGTATGGATTTACACTACGTCAAGTCAGAGGGAAAGGATCACCGATGCACTATACAGTTCTGGTTAGAATCTATATGTGTCATTCATATGAAACCAAATGGCATGATGCATTGCCGAGTTTGCCTTGGTTGGCATTTTCCATTTGCTTTTTCTTGTGATATAAAAGATAAGGATTTTAACCTTGAGCTGGGCATGGTGTCACAAGCCTGTAATCTCAGCACTTAGGAGGCTGAGGCAGGAGGATCGCTGCAAATTCAAGACCAGCCTAGGTTACAAAGTGAGCTCAAAGCCAGCCTGAACTGCATAGTGAGAACCTGTCTCTAAAACAACAACAACAACAAAAAGACTTAAAAGGAATTATACTTTCAAAAAGAACAAGAAGTACTATACCTTTTCAGAAAAGTAAGTGGCTTTCTCCTCGCTAAGACCTGAAAGGGAACAGGAGGATCATGAACACAGTGAAGAGCCGCAGTGGCCCTCTTCTCTACAGCCCTGGCCATCACCTACCCAGGGTTATGAAATCTGCCCGCACCTGCTCTACGGAGAGACTCTTCTTCAGGGCACCTGCAAAGAGGCAAATCACTGAGTCATCTGGCAGTAAGTGTTGACAGGCACAACCTCTGCCAGACAGGACAGGAGCATCACAAGCTGGGGAGAAACTGTGCCTCCAAAACCAGGTTTGCTTCTGTGAAACTGAGCTGTCTCCCAACACGCACGAGACAATTCAATGTGTGGCCACTTGTTGAATTTGGTCTCTTACATTCTAATTAAAATTTAAAAGTCCAGTCGTCAGTTGCACCAGCTGTTTCAGATGCTCCGACAGCCACACAGGCGGTTTCCACCCATGCTGAAGTCCCTGGTGCCGTCCTGGGAAACCAGCAGAACACCGAGACGGGCACAACAGTCGGCTGCTACAATTCATGAGCCACATCCGAGGTGCAGTCCTGTCTCCCCATCTCCCCTTGGGGACCTGGTAACATTTCCCCCCCAGGGACAGCTTTGTTCTGCCTCTAGGCTTCCACTCCTGAAAGCAAAGCACTACCAGCAATCTAGGCTTCTCTGTCTCTGTCTCTGTCTCTCTCCCTCTCTCTCTCTCTGTCTCTCTCTCTGTCTCTCTCTGTCTCTCTCTGTCTCTCTCTCTCTCTCTCTCTCTCTCTCTCTCTCTCTCTCTCTCTCTCTCTGTCTCTCTCTCTCTCTCAATATATATATACATTTTTTTTGGTACCAGGGATCAAACTCACAACCTCACACTGGTCAAGCAGGTGTTTATGCCACTGAGCTTAATCTCTGACCTCAACATTTACAGCTGAAGTCACACCTGGAGTCACAATTTAGCATCCATTTTAACCTTTTCTGCTTCACAATTACCAGATGATTAAGGACTAAGAAGGTGTCTACCACCATCAAGGGAGAGGCCTAAAATGAACCTATACTCTACGCCCAATCAAAAGAAACAGACTGGCAGAATGGATCAAGAAGCAAGATCCAACAATATGCTGCATACCAGAAACACATTTAATTAAAAAAGAAATGCACACTCTTAAAAGTCAAAGGATGGAAAATAATACTACATACGACTGATTAAGAGAGACGAAGAAAGTCACTACAACCTTGTAAAGAGAACAATCAAACAGGAAGAGATAACAGTCATAAATACCCATGCACAAAATACTAGCACACCCAACTATATAAAACAAATATTAGCCAAGTGGCCGTGTATGTCTGTAATCCCAGCACTCAGGAGACTGAGGCAGGAGGATTATTGCAAGTTCAAGACCATCCTGGGCTACAAAGTGAGGCCAGCTTGAACTACATAGCAAGACTCTGTCTCAAAAAGACCAAAAAAAAAAAGATATAAAAAATCAAATAAGCATGAATACAATTGTAATGGGGGACCTCAATACCACTGTCACAAATGTATTAACCAAACTCCGCCACCACCACAAAAAAATCAACAAAGAAATATCAGAACTGGGCCAAACGTTTTTTTGTTTTTGGTACTAGGAATCAAACTTACAACCTCATGCTTGCCAGGCAGGGTCTTACACCACTGAATTAAATTCCTGGACCACGCCATATGAACAAATGGACTGAGTAGATATTTTCAGATGTTCCACACTACAACATCTGTTATAGTCAGGGTTGGCAAGGGAACAGATTTAATAGAGGATATGTAATTTATTTTTCTTTCTTTTTTCTCCTTTTCTCAGGATATATAATTTATAGGATTATTTTACAATATTCACTCCAAATGTCAAATGCAGAGGTGTGCAAGAGATCTGTTCAGACTGGGGATATAGGTCAGCAGTACAGTGCCTGCTCAGCAAGAGTAAAGTCTTGAGTTTGATTCCTGGGACCAAAAAAAGAGAGATCTGTCCATATACTAGAGACCCAAAGAATCCAGCTGAGGGCTTGGATGCCACAGCGATGCTCTGCATGAGTTGAGCTAAAGATCCAGAGCCCACAGTCACGTTCTCCACAAGTCCAGCTAGAGGTCTAGAGCCCAACAATGTCTTCTGCAAGTCTGTATCAAAGATCTATAGACTGGGCATGGTGGCACATGCCCATAATCCCAGAACTCAGAAGAATGAGGCAGGAGGACTGCTATGAATTTGACACCAGCCTGAACTACACAGTGAAACCCAGTCTCAAAAATATGAGAAAAAAAAAAAAAAAAAAAAAAAAAAAAGGACATGCACTGGGGAGACCCAAAGGTCAGTGGTGGCGCATACCTATAACCCCAGCACTCAGGAGGCTGAGGCAGGAGGATCTCTGAGAGTCTGAGACCAGTCTGGGCTACAAAGTGAGCTCAAGGCCAGCCTAAACTGCATAGTGAAACTCTGTCTCAAAAAGACAAAAACACCCAAGGTCAGTGGTAGAAGCTAGAAAGCCCCAGCAGGGTGACAGGTTTGTGCCACCAGGTTGAGGGATGTGCCCTGGAGCCAGGAAGTAACACTTGAAGTAAGGACCAGAGCTCCTGAAAGGGAACAGCAACTATGCAGCAACAGCAAGGACCCAAGCCCCTCCAACAACAAGAACAGCTAAAGAGTCCATATTGGAAAACCAGCGCGACAAGCTTCTCCAATCACTGCACGCCATCTTCCCCTCCAGTTCTTCTTTTATGCTGTTGGTATAATCCTCCAGAGGTTCTTTCATACCCCAAACACGCTGACTCAGTCCAGCTGGGTGTTCCAAGCTGACCATTAGTTAGTTAATCCATACAACATCAGAATATACATTCTTCTCAGCTGGGCTCCAAAACAGACCATATTCTCCCTCATACACATGCTTACATAAATGTAAAGAAACTGAAATTATCCCACACATATTAACAGACCATAGTGTAATACAACTGGAAATCAATGGCAAAAGAATCCACAAAAACTTCATTAATATATGGAAATTAACACCTTACTGGACAACCAATAAGTTACGGATGAAATTAAGTGATACAATTAAGCAATAATGCCAATACAACATACCAGAACTTATGGGATGCAATGAAAGCAATTGTACAATGAAAATTTATAGCTCTGAATTTCCATATTGGAAAAACAGAGTACGCTCTGCCAGGTGTGGTGGCTCACGCCTATAATCCCAGCACTCAGGAGGCTGAGGCAGGTGCATCACTGCAAGTTCAAGACCAGCCTGGGCTACAAAGTGAGCTCAAGGCCAGCCTCAACTGCATAGAAAGATCCTGTCAAAAAAAAACTGAAAGCATTCACTCTAAAATCAGGAACAAGACAAGGATGCCCACTATCACTACTCTTCATCAACACAGGTCAGGAAACATTAATCAAAGCAAGTGAAAGAAATAAAAGGAATAAGGATAGGAAAGAAAGAAATTAAATTAACTTTTTTTTTTTTTGTCTTTTTCTTTTTTATAGGTACTGGGGATCGAACTCACAACTGCCTGCTTGCAAGGCAGGCACTTATGCCACTGAGCTAAATCCCCAGGCCCTTTTTTTGGTCTTTTTGAGACAGAGTCTCGCTATGTAGTTTAGGCTGGCCTTGAGCTTCTGTGTAACCTAGGCTGTTCTCAAAATTGCAATGATCCTCCTGCCTCAGTATCCTGAGTGCTGGGATTACAGGTGTGTACCACCACACCTGGCTGAAAGTAACACTATTTGAGGATGATATGATACTCTACATAGAAGACCCAAAAAATTTTAGTAATGTAACTTGGATACAAAGTCAACACTCAAAAATTGGGGCTGGGGATTTAGCTCAGCAGCATAAGTGCCTGCCTTGCAAACAGGCAGTCGTGAGTTCAATCCCTGGTACCAATAAAAAGACAAAAAAAAAAAAAAAAAAAAAAAATTAACAACATTTTTGTACTGAAATAACAAACTCACTGAGAAAGAAATTAAGGACAGTACACATTTCATAATAGGGTCAAAAAAATGAAACACTTAGGAATCAATTTAATGAAGGAAGTAAAAGATGTGAAAACCACAGTTCTCTGAAGAAGATCATAACCAGGGATATAGTTCAGTGGCGTAAGTGCCTGCCTGGCAAGCACAAGGTCCTGAGTTAAATTCCTGGTACAAAAAAAAAAAAAAAAATACATCAAAGATCATATCAGAGAACAGAATAATATCTCTTGTTCTTGGGTAGGAAGGACCAAGCAATATAGTGAATCGACACTACTTCCAAAACTGTTATACAGATTTAATGCAATTCCAATCAAAATACCAATAGCATACCTCACAGAATTAGAGAAAACAATCCTAAAATTCATTTGGAAACAGAAGAGACCTAAAACAGGAAAAGCAATTCTGCGAAACAAAGGCAAGGCAGGGGACATCACAAATCTTAGCTTAAAATCATACTACAAAGCTACTGTAATAAGAACAGCACAGTGGTGGGCATAGTGGTGCACACCTGTAATCCCAGCACTCAGGATACAGCAGAAAATGCCCCCACCCAGCAGGATACTTAGTCTGTTAGTTGCCCAGGTAACAGTTCCTGTGATAGTGCCTGTTACTTCTGTTTCTTAGAAGCATCTGGTCACTATGATGCATATTTTAAGAACTAGTCAATAACCACCAAATATTCTGCTTCTGTACTTCCTGCTTATGCCATATAAACCCCAAACTACCAAGCATCAGGGCCTGACATTTTTTTCTTGAGGTCAGTGCCTGTCAATGTTAAATAACCCTGCCTCCAAATTCTGGGTGACGTTTTGGTGTTTCTGTTTGCTGTTGTAAGGAGGCTAAGGCAGGACAACTGCAGGACAAAAGTGAGCTCAAGGCCAGCCTGAACTGCATAGTGAGCCCTGTCTCAAAAAGACAAAAAAAAAGAAAAAGAAAAAGAAAGAGAAACCCCGAGATCAATGGAACAAATTGGAAGATGTAGAAACAGCTCCAAACATAGCTAGCCACCTATCTTTCACAAAGGAGCCAAACACCTTCACTGGAAGGAAGATAGCCTTTTTAATAAACAGTGCTAGAAAAACTGACTTTCCAAACCAGATGCATGCCTATAATCCTAGCACTTGGGGAAACTAAGGCAGGAAATCACTGTGAGTTCAAATCCAGTCTGGGCTACAAAGTGAGTTCAAGGGCAGCCTGAACTCCATAGTGAAACCCTGCCTCACAAAAATAAAAACAGGGCAGAGGGTTTAGCTCAGCAGCACAAAAGCCTGCCTGGCAAGCATAAGGTCCTGAGTTCTATCCCTGGTACCAAAAACAAACAAAAAAAATTTGCTTAATAAAAGAAAAAGTCAAACTAGTATGGTGACATATGCCTGTCATTCTAGCCATCTGGGAGGTCTAGGCAGGAGGATCCCAAATTCAAGCCCATCCTGGGCAACTTAGTAAGAGCCTTTCTCAAAATCAAAAAATACAAAAGGATCGGGAATGTGGCTCAGTCGGAAGACCCTGAATTCAACCAGGGTCCACAAGGGTAAAACAAAAGAAAACAAAACAAAAGTTACTGATCACTCATGAGGGTTATCTTGGTAAGTACTGAAATAAAACCAAGTTTAAATATTGTACCTACTGCCGAATTACCTGTAATGTATCTAGGAGAGCATAATGATAATGACTATCATCTTATCAAGAGCAGGCCAATGACAGTCTCTGCGCTTTCTTCTAACAATGATTTCAAACAATGTGCTCTCCCAGTACATTCAAGAAGGCAATTCTCAAAAAGAAGAAGAAGAAGAAAGCAATTCTCCCAGAGGTTAAGCCACCTGGCTCAAGGTCTCCCCCAACTGAGGCAGCTTAGTGAGTACGCTCTGAAGGGCCACCCAGCTACCAAAGGAATCTGAGGCCCTATCTGGGTCGGAGGGACTGGCCAACCTCAGACACCATGCAGGAAGGCACGAGGGAATCATGAACACTGCTGCATATCTCCCTTTCAGATATGGTAACAGCATGGTGCTTATCTCCAGAGGTAGGTAACAAGACAAGATGAAAAGATAACTCACTCTGGGGTTGAGCGGAGCAGGAGAAGCGAAGAATTAGATGTGTTAGGTTCCCTGTGATGAAAGTAATCCTTATGTACAAAAGAAGTACCAATAACAATACAATAAAACAATCAGTTTGGAGAGTAGTTAGAGGGAGTGGATGTAGATTAAATGACATGACATGGGTGGACAGTTGGTAAGAGAGGTATCCTTTTTTTTTTGAGACAGGGTCTTGCTGTCTGGTCAAGGTGACCTTGAACTCGAGGTAATTCTCCTGCTTCAGTATGCTGGGATCACAGGTATGTCCCACATTTGCTTAGATGGTACCCTTTCTTATTCTGCTACTGATGATTGAACCAAGGTCTTCACACTGAGCTACATCCCCAACATGTTTTTTCACTTTTTGAGATAGGACCTTGCTAAATTGTCCAGGACAGGCTCAAACCTGTGATCCTCCTGCCTCAGCTTGCCGAGAGCTGTGATTACAGGTGTGCATCACCATGCCTGGCTAAGAGGGGTATGCTTAAAATTTACATACTCAGGAATGCGGACATAGTCTAAGAGTACAGTACTTGCCTAGAGTTCATGAGCCCTGGGTTTGAGCCTCAGTGCTGTCCTTTACCCAAGAAATCATTACACACTAGACAGCAAAAGAAGAAATCGTTTTTGAAGGCGTGAGGATTGGATCCATATACTACACCTGCATATACTACAGGTTCATTTTAAATAGCAAATATTGGGAGGAGCGGCAGGATGCAAGCTGTGCTGTAAAGACAGCACTTCAGGGCAAGCTGGAGTTTGGATAGGGCACAAAGGGCTAAGAGTGAGAACCTTATTTATTTATTTTATTGACACCGGGGATTGAACTCATGACCGCACACTTGCAAGGCAGGCGATTATGCCACTGAGCTAAATCCTCAGCCCCCTCCCTCACTTGTTTACTTTCTTGCTTGATTCCTCACTCTCTGCCCCCCCCCCCACTTTTCTTTGGGACAGGTTCTCACTCTGTAGCCCAGGCTGGCTTTGATCTTGTGGTGATCCTCCTGCCTCAGTCTCCCAAGTGATGCCATTACCATTGTGCCACCAATGGTAATGGTGGCATTATCAGCTTTGGGGGGTTCCTGAGATACCTCCACCTCTAATGAGCTGCACTTATACAGTGAGATGTTAAACAAAAGCAGGACCTGAACAGCAGAAGAGGAAAGAGATGGGGCATTATATTTCTGATCAGATTCAGAAAGGTTCTAAACACCAAACTACAGGTTCATTTTAAATAGCAAATATTGGGAGGAGCGGCAGGATGCAAGCTGTGCTGTAAAGACAGTACTCCAGGGCAAACTGGAGTTTGGATAGGGCACAAAGGGCTAAGAGCTTGTTCTGTGAGGGCAGCCTTTGGATCTGCAAAGAATCAAACAGGAGGCAAAGGGCTTAAGAAGAGCCCAGCTCCTCCAAACTTCAATGTTAGATGCTGAAGAAATGACCATTTTTGTTTTTGCTTTTGGAGGCAGCTTCCACTATGTAATTCAGTCTGGCCTTGAACTTGCTTGTGTGGCCCAGGCTGGCCTCAAACTTACAGTGGTCCTCCTGACTCAGCCTCCCAGTACTTAGTACTGGGATTATAGGTGTGCATCATATGCCAAGTTAAGAGATATTCTAAGAGAAGTGGAGAATACAGTTCTGGATATGGTGGCAAATGCCTGTAATCCCAGCATTTGGGAGGCAGAGGCAGGACAGTCACCATGAGTTCAAGACTGCCTAGGTTACATAGTAAGACTGTGTTTCAAAAAACAAAACAAAACACAAAAAAATGGAGAATACAAGCCGGAAGACCTTGCAGAAAAGAAAAGTAAAACAAATAGAAATTATTGAGAGCTGAGAAGTATAGCAAACCAAACCAAAGACCTTAATTCAAGAATCTGAAAAGCTTCCCAATATTAACTAGTCAGAAATGATTTCCATCCTTATATTAGGTGAAGTTTTATAATATGATATTGAGACAGTGGACTGAAAGCCCCTATCTATCAACACATCTATCAAAAGGCTCCAGGGCTGGAAGCAGAGTTCAGTGGTAGAGTACCTGCTTAATATGCATAAGGCCTTGAGTTAGATCCTTAGCACCATGCACACGCATGAGCACACACACACACATACATACATACATACATGCACTCATGCACGCATGCACACGGAAACCCTCTCTGACTCATCTTCCATTTTTCCCTGTTGACAGAGGACATTTTCCCTGAGGACAGAGGCCAGGATCTCATTCGTGCTCTGCACATGCTCTATGACTGAGCTGATCCCCAGCCTGGGGTTGTCACTTGATTCTCTGGAACTCTGGACTGTTTTAAAAGTGTATGATACAGCTTAACCTAGAAGCCCAGCTACTCCATAGGCTGAGGCAGGAGTTTGAGCTTAACCTGAGCCACTTAGTGAGACAGTGTCTCAAATTTAAAAATGGCTTAGGATGTAGCTCAGCACTCCCAAGGTCCAACCTCCAGTTTGTGTGTGTGTGGCGGGGGGGACTCCCCTCCATTTCTGTGTCTATTATGCAGAAGACACAGCCATAGTCAGGACTGAGTACAGGATGCAGACTGAGCTCTGGGTTGCATTGCTCTGTATTCCTGACATCAGACAACCACCTCTCCCCTGGCTTCCTCTGAGCACTGGCCAGGACCTCTTTGGATACTAAAATGCAGATGCAAAGTGCAAAATGTATTTGCATAAAACCTTCATATAGCTCCTGTTTGCTTTAAACCACCTCTGGATGATTTATAAGACCCAATACAATGAAATTTTTTTTTTTAAATCTTTTTTTAGACAGGGTCTCTCTATGTAGTTCAGGTTGGCCTTGGGCTCAGTTTGTAGCCCAGGCTGGTCTCAAACTCGCAATGATCCTCCTGCCTCAGCCTCCTGAGTGCTGGGATTATAGGAGTGTGCCACCACACCAGGCTCCCCAATACAATGTAAATGCTGCATTTACAGTAGTCTTACTGTGCTGTTTAGGGAACAATGAGGAAAAAAATATCTGAATATTTTCACCCGTGGTTTGTTGGATCCACAGATTCAGGGCCCAAGGACAAAATTCCTCTACTGGCTAGGGCTCCCTTCCGGGTCTAGCTTAGAACTGAATGCTCTGGCATAGTGCCCAGGGCACATCTGGTCGCCTCTCTGGAGTAAAGGAACATTCAGGTAGCAGCTCGGGCCACAGCTGCTCTGAACACTGCTCACCATTTGGAACCAGCAGGAGGCTTTTCACGATGCTTCTGAGGGGGCCAAGGCTCATCTGATTGGTGGTGGCAAATTCAGAGAGCTGAGCCAGAAACCTTTCCACCTGCAGAGGGAAGAGCACAAAGCAGGCCTTCACTCTCAAGCTTCTCCAGTGCACAAGCTGATGCTCTGGTCTCCCCTTAGCATGAAATACTTTACCTCCTTGGGCTCTGTCAGGAACTGGAAAAGCACTTCTGTCAGAGCTGAGAACTGCTGTAAAGAGAACATCACAGAATATCAGTGCAGTCTCTCCTCCTACACTAGTGGGCCAGCCCTCCAATGACAGATCCTTGTGAGAGAATAATTATAGGGATTGATACTTGCTTCTGCTTATTTGTGATTTTTTTTGTGTGTGTATTTCCTGGTACTAGGGATTGAGTGACCCCCAATCCTTTTTCCTTTCTGTTTTTCTCCCTTACTTCCTCCTTCTCTCTCTCCCTCTCTTTTTTTGTTTTGGTGCTGGGGACTGAACTCACAACTTTGTGCTTGCCAGGCAGAGGCTTGTGCCACTGAGCTAAATCCTGGCCCCATCTTTCTTTCCTTTTCTTTTTCCTTTCCTTTTCTCTGTATCTATCTCTCTCTGTTTTTTTTTTTTTTTTTTTTTTTTTTTTTTTTTTTTGTCTTTTTCCTTTTTTTATCGGTACCAGGGATCGAACTCACAACTGCCTGCTTGCAAGGCAGGCGTTTATGCCGCTGAGCTAAATCCCCAGCCCATCTCTCTTTGTCTTTTTGAGACAGGGTTTCACTGTGCAGTTCAGGCTCCAGTTCACTCACTTTGTAGCCCAGACTGGCCTTGAATTTGCAGCAATTCTCTTGCCTCAACCTCCCAAGTGCTGGGATTACAGGTGTGAGCCACCACACTCCCAGTCCTCTTTTTGAAACAGGGTCTCTCTAACTCGTTAAATTGCCCAGGCTTGGCTCAAAACTTGTGATACTCCTGCCTCAGCTTCCCAGAGTACTGGGATTAGAGGTCTGTACCATCTGCTTCTGTAGTTTTTATTGTATTCTATTTTTTTTTTTTTGTCTTTTTCGTTTTTATTGGTACCAGGGATCGAATTAACGACCGCACACTTGCAAGGAAGGCGCTTATGCCGCTGAGCTAAATCCCGAGCCCCCTTATTCTATTTTTTTGAGACAGGGTCTTGAAATGTACTATAGACTGGCTTTGAACTTGCTGTGTATTCCAGGTCAGCTTCCAACTCACACTTTTCTACCTCAGCCTCTTGAGTGCTGGGATTATAGGTATGCATAATTACACCATGTTTATGATACCTATTCTGTTTTGTTGTTGCTGTTGTTGTTGTTTTGTCTTTTAAGATAGTTTCCCTGTTGAGGCTGGCGATTTAGCTCAGCGGTGTAAGCGCCTGCCTTGCAAGCAGGCAGTCGTGAGTTCAATCCCTGGTACCAATAAAAAGGAAAAAGACAAAAAAAAAAAGATAGTTTCCCTGTGTAGTTTAGGCTCTCCTTGAACTTACTACGTAGCCCAATCTGGCCTCAGATTCTCAATGATCCTCCTGCCTCAGTTTTCCAAGTACTGGGATTACAGATGTGTGTGATACACCTGTGATATTTGTGATACCTATTCTGATCACCATAAAATTATAAATGTTCAAGAGGATCGTTGCAAGTTTGAGACTAACCTGGGCTACAAAGTAAGCCTAAAGCCAGTCTGAACTGATAGTGAGACCCTGTCTCAAAAAGACAAAAATAAATAAAGTTATAAATGTTCATACTACCTACATCAGAGTCAATATAGCCACATCAATATATTGCCTGAAAAGTACAATTTTTTTTGTCTTGTTGAGACAGGGTCTCTTTCTGCAGTTCAGGCTGGCCTTGAGCTCACTTTGCAGTCTAGGCTGGTCTCCAACTGGCATCAATCTTCCTGCCTCAGTCTCCTGAGTGCTGAGTGTGCTGGGATTACAGGCATGAGCCACTACGCCCGACTCAAGCACAAATATTTTAATGAGATACTTAAAAGATATATATTGCACGATCGTGCATGTATGCATTATAGATGGACAGACATCTCTAGGGTCCAAATACATGCATACACACAGAAAAAGATCTGAAAGGAAAAGTCAGCAGAACACTAAAAGCATTTATTATAGGGTTAGGGGTGTGGTTCAACAGTAGAGCACTTCACAGCACACCGGCGCAGGCTTTGGGTTCAATTCCCAGTACTGCCACAAAACAGACAAAACCAAACCAACTAAAACAAAAAACAAAAAAACAAAATAAAAACCAAAACCAGTTAGTTCTGTATGGCAAAACACTGGACAATTTTGAGTTTCTATTTTGAGCTGAGCATGGTGGTGCAGTCCTGTAATTCTAGCACTTGGGAGGCTGAGGCAGGAGAATCATTTCCAAGTTTGAGACCAGCCTGGGCTACAAAGTGAGCCCAAGGCCAGCCTGAACTCATAGCAAGATCCTGCCTCCAAAAAAAAATTTTTTGCTACCCTATTTTCTGTCCTCTTCACAATACTTATTACTTGTATAACAAAACAATAAATTTCAATTCATCGTAACATTGTCTAGGAATATACCTTGTGCATGTTATTCTTTTTACTAGTGCTATTTTATTAGGGATTGAGTATGTGGGCCTCCCATAAATTCCCCTGTAGAAGTTCTACTTCCCAAAGTGATTGCATTTAAAGGTAGGCCTGCAGCTGATAAAGGTAAAATGAGGCCTTAAGAAGAAGACTCTACCCCTTAGGGCTGGAGCCCTTATCAGAAGATGAAAACGTTAGACAGCACGATCTGAGTTCCAGCCCAGCCTGGGCAATTTAGCAACTTTGTGAGCCTGTCTCAAAAAAGAAACAAAAAGGGCTAAGGAGTTAGTTCAGTGCAAGGGTTTTGGATTCAATTCCCAGAACACCACACACACAGAGGCTATGTGTGTGAAAGGCTATATGTGTGTGTGTGTGTGTGTGTGTGTGTGTGTGTGTGTGTATGTATGTATATATTTTTTTTTAATTTTTTTTTTTTTTTTAGGTACCAAGGATTGAACTCATGACCTCATGCTTGCTAGGCAGTGCTTATACAGCTGAGCTAAATCCCCAGCCCACAGAAGCAATATATTAACTAAGGGTGACATATGCAAAGGTTCTAGCATGCAGCCAGGCTCTTGGTTAAACAAATGGCAATTTGTGTAGCTGAATTATAGTCACTAAAACATTTGATTCACTTTCCACACACACACACACACACACACACACAAAAGCGGGGCATGGAGGCAAACACCTGTAATCCTAGCACTGCAGGAGGCTGAGACAGGAGGATCACTACAAGTTTAAGGCCACCCTGGGCTACACAGTGAGCTAAGGACAACCTGAAGTACATAGTGAGACATCTCAACACCCACTCCCATATTAAAAACTATCCATACCATGTGCACACACGCATACAAAGAAAAAGAAAAATATAGGTGGCACTTGCCTAGCATGCATAAGGCCTTGAATTTGAACCTCAGTACCACAAATAAAAGACAATTAAAGGTACAAAATTAGCATGGAAAAACTTGAAAGCTACATACACACACTTTTTTTTTTTTTTGATACCAGGGATTGAACTCACGACCTCAGGCTTGCCAGGCAGGCACTTCTGCCACTAAGCTAATTCCCTGCTCCCCCTCCCCCAGTTTGAAAAGCCTGAATTAACATGAAATAATATAAACTAAAACCTCTCTCCGTCCCCCTCCTCAGTCCATTTGCCACAAGTGGTTAATGCTAACACACATATGAGCTTCCAGTCATTTTCTTTTGTGTTTTGCAGCACTGGGGATGGAACCCAAGGCCCTGTTATATCAGGCAAGGGCTCTTCCACTGAGCTAAGGCCTCAGCCTAATCTGCTTTTTTGTTGTGTTTTGTTTTGTTTTAGACAGGGTCTTGCTATGCTATGTAGTACAGGCTGGACTTGAACTCACTGTGTAGTCCAGGCTGGGCTCAAACTGCTGCAATTCTCCTGCTCAGCCTCCTGAGTTCCTGAGTGTTGGGCTTGCAGGTGTGTGCCATCACGCTTGGTTCACCTGCAATTTTTTTTTTTTTTTTTTTTGGGCAGAGGTACTAGGGATGGAACTCAGGACCTTGTGCTTATGTCACTGAGCTATATCCCCAGACCCCTACCTGGCTACTTTTTAGCCAGTGTTGATCCTGGGATTATCTTTCTACAGTATTTATGACACTGAGCATTAGCCTTGTAAAACTGCTGATTCTATGTAGTAAAAACCAGAACACTAAATGGCCACATTAGCACATACCTATAATCCTAATACTCAGGAGGCTGAGGTAGGAGGATTTTGAGTTTGAACAGGGCTTGGGCAACAAAGCAAGTTTCACACCAGCCTAGAACACATAGTGAGACTGTCTCAAAAATAAACAAACAAAAAACACGAGCAGTTGGGCTGGGGATTTAGCTCAGCGGCATAAGCGCCTGCCTTATAAGCAGGCAGTCGTGAGTTCGATCCCCGGTACGGATAAAAAGGAAAAAGAGCAGTCAAAAACTGGTTAAGAATTTGTCTCCTCCTTCCAAAAAAAGAATCTCTCCCCAAATTGTACTTTTTCCTTTAATTTTTTCCCTTACAACCCTATGGAACTGTCAGCTCCATGTTACTCAGGACCTTCTAAAAAATGGGGCAGCTCATTACCTACTGTCCACGTTTCCCCTTCGAGGCCCCAGCCCAGCACCAGGACTCACTCTAATCTCTCTCTCTGGTCTCAGCCCCAGTTCTCTCCAGCAGGACTCCACACCTATCTGGTCTCAGCTGCCTCTGGCCGCAGCCCTATCTCCACTTCCCCAAGCCTTCCTTATCCCCCCAAATCCTGCTGCCGAGATAGCAGCTACTCCCAACAAAAAAGGGCCAGCCTTAAGCGAACAATTAACAGAGCAAGGAGACAGCCTAAAGAATCCGATAAAATATCTGCAAACAATGCATCAGATAAGGGGTTAATTTCCCCAGAAAAGAAAGAAAAAACCCAATTTAAAATACTGGCAAAAGACTTGAGCAGATATTTTTGTTTTTTCTTTTTCTGTTTTAGACAAGGTCTCACTATGTAGTCCAGGCTGGCCAGGAACTCACAATCCTCCTGCTTTAGTCTCCTAAATGCTGGTAGTACAACCATGCACCGCACCTTCTTTTTGCTTTGTTTCTTACTGTGGCAGTACTGATGACTGATTGAATCCCAGGACTCTGTGCATGCCAGGCAAGCACTCTA